TCAATAGAAACTAGCAGGGATCATTCAAAGGGACTATCAATTTACAAAGCATTGAATCTTTTCAAAATGCTTTGTTGTAATTTTGGAGGTATACATGTTAGTTTCTGAAGAAAGCTATTCCCTATACACAAACAGTATACTAAAGAAGCCCTTTTATTAATGAGTATTACTTGTACAGCTTGCTTGTTAGGTCAATATGTCATCATTAATACCTGGTTAGTAAATTTCATACCTGGCGAGGCGGAGTTAAAGACCCAATTCTTTTACCTTACGGTTACCTGTTGAAGGGGAGTGATGGAAGGATAAATGAAAATAAGTTCGGCGTGCGACAAGGCAATTGTTTCAAAACATGCAAACCCAGATTATCAGGTAGCACAGGTAGCAGAGCTGTCAGTCAAATCAGAAGCTATTGTTTTTTTAATGATTGACAGGCGGTTAATTATTGATCTTGAATCAGGTAGATTTTGAGAGCGTTAGAATATAATTAAGTGTTTGGAATCATTAGACCTCGACATTAAAAATACGAGGGACGTTCAATAAATAATGTCATTAGCTCGATGGCATAAGACATAGTAGTCAAATGACATAAAGCTTGCCTTTCTATATTTATTGAATCTTTAATGAATTGATAACAGTTTGTGTGACCACTTTTCATCGCATTATTTCATCGTGGGAAGCTTGGAAACAAGGCCTATTCGAAACTGCATTAAAAATGAATGTTCCAGAATCAGTATACTAGAGTAAATTAAACGCTTCATTAATGCAGCTGTAAAACTTGTTAATATCCCAAATATATAGTAACTGAAATATGTGATAGTTACAGCAACCAATGCCTGTTTTATAGACAGGTGAACATGTATATTTCCAAAAACAAAAATTATATAATGGGCAACAAAAATGGGTACCGTCCTTGGCAACAATGATATACAACAAACGATGTAAATTTTCGAAATTTCAACTAATTATCACTGATTATGTTTTATTGACTTTAAGACACATAATTGATAAAATCATTTTGGGGATTGTTCATACTGTTTTAAATAGAAAATTAATAGTTAAAAGTTTAATACTCAATGGTCACACTATATTTTGAAAAATGTGTGAAAACTACAGCGTGTAGGAAATATCCAAACAACTATTTTAAAAATTCAAAAAATTCACTTATCCACGTTTGTTTCAAATTTTAACAGATGATGAAACTTGAATTCATTTTGCTTTAAGCCCTCAAAACAAATTTACAATAAGATGCACTTGACAAAACTGCAAAGGCCTAAGAAGAGCAAAGAATTGCAGGAGCATAAAACAGTTTTATATGCTATTTTCTTAAATATTAGCGGTCTTTTTCTTCAAATTCATATTCGGGGAGGATGTTCAAATTTCTGAAGGAATATAGAAAACAATTTTTGTGCTAAAAATTGAAAAGTTTATGAGAGGAAGGAAACAGAATGAGGAATACACTACATTAAATGTCCTCATGACGGCGGCCAAACCCACAGCAGGGATGGGGTAATTGTAATCAGTAATCTTAATCAGCTGTAATCGATTACAACTTGCCAAGTAATTATGAGTAATCAGTAATCACCCATTTTTTTCTGATTACAAGTTCATTTAATCATTTTTTTTATGATTTATAGTGAATATTTTTCAGTGTACAAAATTGTTTATTAGAAAGTTATTACAAACTTATAAGCTGTATGTAAGAAGGTATCTTCTTATAATGCCTCCAGACATCCTTATCATCAGGTCCATTGTCCTGGCAATTAGTAAATTCTATGAGTTCCTTGCTATACATGTATTCAGTAGTCATTTCAAAATACTTTGCACAGCTTAAAAATTTGCTTTTTTGTACTAGATATATGTATATACTGATAGAAAATTACTACAGTATCATTTTAAAATTTGATTTATTTTCTTTTTGTTTCAATTAATGAACATGTGTGTAATGCAACAATTTGTTTTCCTTGTAAAACTTTGTATAAACTTGTATTTTTTTTATAGGAAATGTTCCTTTATTGAAGCGTATTCTTAAAATCACTTTATTTGATTTAAAGGTTATATAAAAGATAATATGAATTAATAAGTCACAAGACACAGGTATACTAAAGTTGGCTCAGCTTTGGTAATAGTAATTATTGAACTTTCCATGCTTGTCCAGTCAATGTGTCAATTCTAGTAAAAACATCTACTAATTGACAGTTTAATTGAAAAGTCTATCACTCATCAAGAAGGTCAATCGATTGTGTAACAGTTCTCTATCGAATCCCTTTATCCCTACCTATGATTATGTCCAGTTTGATTTATAAAAAAAACTATAATAAATTGGTTTTTTTTTAATTCTCTCAACGGAAACAGGATATTTACTTGTATTAAAGATAGGAATCAGGTGATATAAGATGAATCACATGCATCTATATAAGGACATACACAACCAAACTTTATCTGATTTTTTTCTTCAGTTATTTCACTGTTCCAACACATAATAGATTAGAAGGTTTATGATGTTTTCGTTACCTCTCAGTACCCCCAATGGAGTTGTGGAGTAAAGCGTTTTTATTTAAAAATTAAATTATAATTATTTTTTGTTAATTCTATTGAAACATAAATAATTTTACCTAAAATATCTTGGCAATCAATATTTATAATTTGTTTTTTATAAGCCCCCCCCCCCCCCCTCCCACGAGTACACTGTCGACTCGTCCCCTCAAGATGATAGAATCGATTAATTCGGTTAGGAGTAAGCATATTATTTTGGATCATAAAACACTTTTCAGGAGAGGTCAAATTGTTTACGTTAGAGGATGTAAAACGTGTGTATGAACATTTCGGAAATAAAATAGTTACACAGGAACATTTCTTCAGAGTGAAAATTTAGCGCATGCACGTTTTTTTTATTTCTGGAATGAATCTCACCCGTCCCCGAGAAAAATCCTAATTAATTGAGCTAATTAAACCGCTTTCACTGAACGTCCAAGCAAGACGTTCTACATCCGTTGTACGTTGTCGTCAGACGCATTGTGACATCAGTTATGAAGCTCCATGCGGGTCACGTGAAAGAAGTATATTGATGATGTGTGGTTGGTAAATTTTTAATATACGGTGGGTAGGTCACGTTGAGGGGGCACATAAAAAATGTGAGGTGGGTAGACAGCATAACATCCTTTCATGCAGTATTGCTCTCGGCCAATGAAATTTCACGATTTTTATCAGAGGCAGGATAATATTAGTTATGTAGACACTTAGAGGGGTAATACGGAAATATGTGGAGTCCTTGAAAAAAACCATATTGGGCGAGGCGCAAGCGTAAGTGTACAGTGGGCGGAGCGTTCAAGGAATCTCGAGACTGTGTCGTCATGTTATTCGCAATGTAACTATGACGTCAAAACATTTCGACATGCGATGTCAAAATAATACGAAATGAAGACACCGATAATTCTTCAAAATGTCAGTGAAAATACTGTTTAAAAATAATTGAATTGTTTAAGGACACGATGCATTACTAAAAATAAAATGTACTATAGTATCAAAAATTGTGTTAAATCGCATGCATTTGTAATTATGCCACTACAGAGTTTTTTTTAAGTCGGAATATCTGGTAAAAAAAAAACAAATTAAATTGCCCTTGATTGTTTCGGTATAATAAAACAGTTATAGAATGGATTTTCGGGAAATAGCAATTTTATGGTCCCCCTCTGGAGGAAACTATTTCCCTCGGCGGCTTTGCCGCCTTGGCAAATAGTTTCCTCCCTCGGGGGACCATAAAATTGCTATTTCCCTCAAACCCATTCTATAACTGTTTACTATCACCTACTGCGATGTAGGACCTCACTTTATATGGTCACATCTGAAGGACCAGTCTACGCGTCCCACTTGGATTCAAACCCGCGAAGTAAAGATCAACACATTTCTTCGCAGCTTTAGAGCAAACTTTCTAACCATTGCTCCATTGTATATTTTTTAAGAAAACTTTGAAATGCAATACCTCTCAGGGCAATATGCAGGGCTCGACATTAACGCTTGTCCGCTTGTCTGGTACCAATGAAAAAGAAATACGGACAAGTGAATATTGCTGGGCAATTGTCCGATTGGACAAGTGATTTTTCTATGTATAAAAGAATTCATATAATAATAATCATTAAAAATAAAACAACTATTGTAAAGTTTATCGAGTAAAAACGGAAGCAGTACATAAACCTGAATTTCGATCTCGATATCAATCGCTATGTAAGTTCACACTTGATCGGGATCGATGTCCACTAATTGCAGCCAAACTGTTACATGGTGTGGATCTTACGACGTTTACGAGTTTGGAACATATTTGATTGATATTACAAATTCACTTGTGAACATTTATGCTGTTGTCAGGACAGGAAGTCTAGTTAAAATTTTGTGTTATATGTGTTTGTCTTATTTATAAATACCAACAGTAATAGATAAAGCGCATTTAATTTTTAAACTGTTTTCAAGTTAACATAACAAGAGATTCATTGAAAAATTTTCTGACAGGTGAAGTTGAAGGTCGGACAAGTAAACATGGTAAATATCTTGGTCACTTGTCCGAATGGACAAGTAGGGAAAAAAGTTAATGGTCCAGTCCTGATATGGGAAATGGACACATCATCATGAAACCACTTAGCGCAAACAGGTAATCCTAGAAGTCAGGGGGCCTAAGGCTACATTGATGCCTCCAGTGGATCCAGGGCAAAGACCTAGCGGGGGCAAAGTCCACAGGAACAGACAAATTCAAACAAATAAGGTGTTTTTTTTAGGATAAAACAAACGGATCTCGAATTAAAAAAAAATAATAATGTGTGTCACTGTGTGTGTGTGTGTGGGGGGGGGGGGTGGGGGGTGGGGGGGGGCTTTGTCCCGTGCCTTGCAATGCACCTGTGAGTATGATTGTTGGGCAGTTTGTTGAAGCTCAATTATCATGGTTATCTACAAACACACATATATGTTTATTGTACATAATGTTTACTAATGTATTCATTTTTCAGATAGGGAAATGGATAAATCTTTGGCCTCTGCCAAAGAGGACAATGATGAAGACAAAGAACATGAAGAAGAAAATGACTCGATGATAAATGATAAACTTTTAAATGCTCCTAGCCCCCCTTCTGAATCTCCAAATCAAGAGGTAAAGCTTTGTTGTTTTTTATCTCATCTGAGCTGACTGTGAGCGCCTCGGGAAATAGTTTGCTGTCTTGGGGGACGATAAACTTGCTATTGTCCAAATACTAATTCAATAAATAGGTGTTTTATTATACCGATGCTGACTTTACTTTTGTTATGTCATAATGTATACGTCACTTTCTGTATAAAATCAGAAGTTTTCCGAGATGAAAAGCGAGAGAAACAGAATGCTGCTGGTGAATAGTTTGATGACTATTTCACCATGGGCAGATAGCACAAAAACTATTTCACGGTAGGGTTTGTTTGGAAAAGATCGCATGTTTATTCGTCATATTTTTATATAGAACAAATTCACATAGGTAAAATAAATAAATATTTTTTTTAAAATTAACTGTATATCCATTATCAGTCAGATTGAGAGGGATAATGGAGTTTATGAAGATACTTACTTTTACATTCGACAGGTGACATTTACATTTTAGTAATTGGAGTTAGTCACTGTTTGAATTGTAGAAGTCAGTTGTCGATTGTAAAAGTAAGTCTCTTCATAAAACTCCATTGCAAACTGCTTATAAGTAAAATAGCTTAAATTATTTTACACACACAAATTATCTATTTTTGATAACATAAACATATTAAGTTACTTTTATATCCTACTTGGACATTGATTTCTGGGGGGTTTTCTAATGAATGTACCCCTGTAAAGGAGATGATTAACCCCCTTCCCCGCAGTCACGCGTTTTCACGCACTTTAAAAAGTTCATTAAATCTTCAATTTATTGCCAAATTCCAACTATTTCATACTTCCTTAATGTCACAAAATAGAAAAAATTATTTTCTAATTAAAATATTATGTCATAATATTATTTACGCTAAACTTTAGAGAAACTTGTACCCTGCTAGAAAGTGCTTGCGGGGAAATGGTAACGTAATATTTCTATAACGTGAGGATTCATTTTATTTTGCATAACAATTTAGTAAGTTGTAAAGTGTTAAGAAATATTGAAAATTTGTAATTGGGTCATTTTTCAAATAGTCTTAAGAAATGTAGGTTGACAAGGTTTGTGGTATAATGCTTTCTGTTGTGTATATAAAAAAATGAACAGTTTAGAGTTCATAGCAGAGGGCCAAAGTATACTGCTTCAAAGTATTCGAAAGTAAAACTTATTAAAAGACCCATTCTATAGAACAGCATACAGTAATACAATGAATCATGTTAATAATACCATGAATACAGGTTGCTACCTTTTCACTAGCGCCTATAGTTTTCTCTGACATTAATGTGATTTACTTAATTGGACGCCTGAACAAGAATACTTTTTAGCTCACCTGAGCCAAAGACTCAAGTGAGCTTTTCTGATCCCATTTTGTCCGTCCGTCCGTCCGTCCGTCTGTCTGTCCGTCTGTAAACTTTTCACATTTTCAACTTCTTCTAAAGAACTAATTGGCCAATTTAAACCAAACTTGGTACAAAGGGGTAAAGGGGAGTTTAATTTCTTAAAATGAAGGGCCAAGTCCTTTTACAAGGGAAGATAATCAAGAAAAAGACAAAAATGGGGTAGGGTCACTAAAAAATCTTCTTCTCAATGGTTAGGGTTAGAATCATGACCCGTGGGGGAAGGGCGGGCCACAATAGGGAAGTTTTACATAGAAATATATAGAACAAATCTTTAAAAATCTTCTTCTCAAGAACCACTGGGCCAGGAAAGCTGAAACTTATGTGGAAGAATCATTGGGTAGTATAGATATTAAATTGTTAAAATCATTGGGTGGTATAGATAATAAATTGTTAAAATCATGACCCCCAGGGGTAGGGCAGGTCCACAGTAGGGAATCCAAGTTTTACATAGAAATACGAGGGTTGATCCAAAAGTAATGTCACAACTTCAATAAAATCGCTATCCGTCGACGTAAAACAACAAAATGAAAAATAATGAAAGCTACATTTATTTCAAATCAGGCCTGAAATTTTCAATTCAACATGTTTTATACTTTTTAATATATCGGATTATATATAACGTGTGATTATGGTAGTCGCCGCAGCTAAGTTACGTCATATGACGGATACGCACCGTCATACATTTAAACGTTTCCCTTCGTTTCATCAAAAATATTTGATATTTGATATCCACGAACACGTTCACAAATTTCTTTTTCTTAGACTTAGTACCCATCGTTCACTCACTCTTTTCATAATTAATTCTGTCAAAATTAATAATGAAGAATGATGATGAACTAAAAATGAAGTGAAATTAAAAAATAAAAAAATATGCATTAAATCTTTCTCGGTATTACCGAAGTCAACTTTATACCGTTATGATTCGGAGTTTATAGAGCGCAGCTGCGCATTTCATATCCTCTTCTGACAAAGCAAGTTGCATGCAGAATGCTAGATGGAAAACTGTTATTAGTTAAATGAGAAGATTTCCAGAAAGAGAAAGGAATAAATAATATGTGTGAATAACTGGTTAGATTTTCTAATAAATATAGAAATTGAGATAGCTTTAACAAACAAACAACAGTCTATTGAAGTTATGTAGGTACATGTACTATGTATTTACATGTCCGTTTACTCTACAATAAACGTGATAAAATTAAGGATATCGAGTCTTAATTCTGATTTCTTGATACCTCAGATATCTTGACATTTTCCGATAATCCTGCCAATGTTGAGATAACCAAGTTTACCTAACATCAATGTTCTTTTGTAGATCTTTCAGATCTTATAAATTTAATAAGAAAAAAAAGGGTGACCAAGAGATTTTGAGAAAAAGATTTATACAAAATAGGAAGTGAAATGAGATTTAGGGGTTTGTTTGAATGTACTTCTTGGACATAATTGTCAGTCATAGATAAATTCTTAGACTTACAAAGTTCTATATTTTCCAGATACTTAAAGGCAAGAAAAATGAATCAAAAAATGAAGAGGAAAAAAAAATAGATCTCCTTCTTGCAAATGACAAATCATTTCAAAGGAAATATAAAGTGGAAGAAAAACTTGGAAGTGGAAAATTTGGAATTGTATATAGAGTAACACGTAAATATTGTGACAAGGAAGTAAATCCTATAGCACTGAAAATTTTGTGTAAAGACTTAATGCGGGATCCAGAAACCACATTAAATGAAATAAAAAAAAATGTTCGACTTTGTCAAAGTAAATCATGTCCGAATGTAGTTTCATTTTTCAGCTTTAACGAGTACATTGATCAGTCACATCGATATCTTTGTCTGGAAATGGAACTTTGCGATGGAGGGACACTGAAGAATCCAAAGTCCCATGAACATAAATTTGTCAATGATACATTTAGAAAGAAGATTTTAAAAGAGACTATATCTGGTATGCTATTTATTCATGACTGTAGTGTGGCACACTGGGACATTCATGGAGGAAATATACTCTTCAAAAGTGAAGATGATGATACTATTAAATTTGGGGACTTTGGTCTCACAAGAGATAGTACACACTCACAGGATTTGGATATACAAGAGCTTGGAAGAACTTTATTGAAGTGCGTTTTTTTAAGGGAATCAGGTTTTTCTGATTGGAATCTAATTTCAATTGAATTTCTTTTATGTGAAGCTAAAGTCCAGAAGGATTTAAGGGAGATACTGGAAGGATTGACATTCAACACTATGTCACTGCCAGAGGCACAGAGAAGAATAATAGAAATAAAAGGTATTCAAATGCTTTTAGTTATTATGACATAGTTAAAAACATTGACAGTTCATCTAAATCTTTTTTCTTGTATTCCTACATTCTGTAAACCTTACATTCTAAACTCCTGATCATGCTGATACTTGATATTACATGTAATTGCAAAAATGCTTTACCAGAAGCTCATACCTGCACAAAAAAACGTAAGAATTTATAAGTAGTAAACAAAATGTAGTAAACACTGTCCAGCAAGGGTAGTCCAACACCATGGAATATGTCTCACTAATGAAACAAACCAGTAGAATGTTAATTATTTATTATATATCCAACTGTGTATCACTAAATGTAACTGATGATTTCGCTCAGTCCTGTGACAATGTAATCCAAGTTTTTCAGATCATTACACTGTGATAATGTAAATTTAATTAATATCACTCCTCTCTGAAATTGATTATGTCAACTCAAAAGTGATATGTCTTTCTGGATCAAGTTACTGTTATATTAATATGTATGTATCAAATTTTACTGTTCTGTTTAGGTGACCTGAGTAAACTGGTGACCTATTGCTATCTGTTTTCATTTGTTGTCCCTCATTTGTTAACTTCTCTGAAACCACTCAACCATTTTTAACCAATTTTGGCACAAAGTATCTATGGATGAAGAGGAACTAACATTGGGATTTCATGGTCCTCCCTTCTGGGGCCTGAGGGGTGGGGCCCAAACCACTAAAATTAATACAAACTTTAAATATCTTCTTCTTTACTCCTGGACATCAAGCAGTCAAACTGTTGGTATGATTGTAATTGGCATTGAGTCTTCTACCAAAATTGTGAAATTCATGGCCCTAGGGTCATGGATTCTATTGTTAAGGCGGGGCTAATAGATTATATAGTGAAAATGCATGAATTCTTTGAAAATCTTCTCCTGGGCATTAAATAAAATAACCAAGTACATAGTTATGATAAGCAAGAAAGTCTCTTCCATGAATTTCATGGACCTTGGGTGAGAAGTTATGATGTTTGAGTGGGATTCTATTGATATATTTTAGTGAAAAAACATAAATCATGTAAATTCTTTAAAGTTTTCTTCTCTATTCTGGTCACCTGCTTGGCAAAGTAAGGAGGCAATCCTTATGTTGTGGGTGCAAATCCCACTTTGGGAAGTGGAGAGTGTTCAGTCCAAGAGCTCTCACATCACTTTTGGGAATGGGTCCGGGTCCATCAAAATTGGGGAAAATATCGACATTTTGGGAAATTTGGGGATAACCATTGTTCTCTATAAACATACTGGGTTTCTGATCTTTGTTATCAACTAAAGCATTGTTTTGCAATACAGAGAATTCTTGTAAAAAACAAATTACATGGCAAGCTATATTTTCTTTAATTTTGGAGATGACTTTTGGGAAAATTAACACATTCAATTGGGAAAAAGAGAACATTTTTGAATTGGGAATGGGGCCAATAAACTGCCATTTTCGCCAATTGAATGTGTTAATTTTCCCAAAAGTCATCTATCTCCAAAATGTCTACTACAGAAAACGAAATTCTAAATGTGGGGGAAATGCTTAAAGTAATATACGCCGTATGGATGCCGATTTGTATGTGAAACAAAATGATTAAATGATTTGATACACATAAAGTGTAATGAAAAAATAATATTTCCACAAAATTTAACTATAAAACTCGTTGTAATAACAGAACAATAAAGCAATATCTGCAATCAAGAATTCAGTCTTTTCATGAATATTGATAAAGGAAGTGCGTAAACAGTAGGTCTAAATATAGACACGTATGTCCACGTGAAATTATGGACGACGAGGCACATTGCATTTTGACAACGATTATTAATAAAAGGTTAATATGCGTCATAACAGAGTATAGATGGTTGATACTGATTACATTTAAAGATAAGTTATATTAATAGTACAGTCCCTGAAACGTTCTACTTTCCCACCTGAACGGTGAGCGAACGCTGAACGAACGGTGAACGAACGGTGAACGAACGCAGAGCGAACGGTGAACGAACGGTGTGTGAACGCGCTGAACGCAACTTGGTGAACGATGTGTGAACGGAGAACGGTGAGTGAACGCAGAACGCGAACGGAGCGCAAACGGTGAACGGTAAACGAACGGTGAACGCAAGATGAACGATTTATTCGGACTGCCTCAGATTTTTTCCTTGCATTTAATTATTCTGTTATATTCTAATGTTAGATGCTAAAATATAAATAAACAATAAATAAATAAGTGAATAAATAATTAAAACATTTTTTTCTGCACATACGTTTGATGTTTTAAATCAATAGTTTAATAACACGATTTTTATTGCCGTAAAAAAGTGTCTTTGTTACCGAACACCTGTCGTATAAAAGATAAAATTCATTAACTAATAAAATAAATCTGCTTATTCTTTTGACTATTAAAATAATGTGGACTTCAGAAGAGGAAACTGCTATACTTACAGAATGAATTATTAGATTAAAACTAAATAATATATGTTTCGATGTCACGGCGATTCCGTGTAAAATACCGATTTTTTAAATTAATTTATAAAGGTCTGTTGACATATTGCACCATTCACTCGTATTAAAAAAACTTTTATGCAATAATATTATATATTTATTAGTTATTTTTATTTTGTCTGGTTATTTTATTTTTCTAAGCTAAGTTTTACATGTAAATGTATATCTGAAGACATTTCCCGACCATGATTATACTCGGACAAGATAATGGATAGAAGCATTCAAATTATTTGTAATAGATTAGAATTTCAGAACTAAATAAATAATAAATATGTTGTCATAGTTTTTATTTAACATGGCAAATGTAATAGCGATAGAAACTTGAGAGAGAGAGAGAGAGAGAGAGAGAGAGAGAGATTTGTTGCCTCGAATAAAAATTCATATATTAATTTTTTTTTCTAATATTCCAGGCAGTCAAAGTAATCATTTCTTTTGATTAACAAATCCATTTGACAGTAAGCATCGGTTTTTTTCCCTTCAAGTTCAAACGATTCACTCCAAGTGCACGTGCTTGTCCTGTCAATCAAAGTAATTCGACACAATGGAGGTGTTTAAATCTCGCTTCACCGAACATGCCGAAGTCAAAGAGTCACTTCGTATTCCCGAGAAGTTTTAACATTTTGTTTACATCATTTGTAAAATTGATGTTCGCTTTTCTACGGAAAAAATGAATAAATAATTGCAATACATGTATATACCTGGAAGGATTGAGTTTTGATTGAGTTTGAAATTGAATTTAAAACATAATCCCTGCCAAATCAAAATACCACTGTCGGCACATGTACATGTAAGTATATAATGACTGTTTTGATGTTTGTATAATGAATGATTTTTTCTGTGTTACATGTTCAATACACATTGAATATTAATTAATGTATACTGAAAATACTAACTAAGAATTTGATTTCGGGAGAAAGGGTGCAGGGGGGGGGGGGGGGCTGTTAAGCATGCTGAATGGCAAACGTATATTTAGTTACTTGAAGGAAGGTTTTTTTCCTTTGTAATGATACACTTTATATACCTGATGTAGAACCAAAAATTCTATTGTATTAAATTTTAAACAGTTTGTCTTTTCTAAAATTTAAAATCACACTAACAATTTAATTTGCTCTACAAATATTTAATAAACTGAATATCTGTAGTACAATTCATCATTCTCAGACATATATATATATAGTTCTAGCATGTTTTTGTTTATTTTTCTTTAAAAACTTGTTAGACATATTATTTTTTGTGTATTCTTGTCTTGTAAAAGACTTGGATTATTATTCATCTTTTAACGATTTTTGTCGTCTTTTATATTATAACGAAATGCCGCACTTTAAGTATTTGTTTAGGGACATTGCCCTTATTTAAATTTAATATTTTAGCATCGTTCTACTTACATGTACGTTCTTAATGTATTTTTTCCAGGGAAAATGGATAAAGTAACAGCTATAAGTTATAATAATAGAAATATATATATCGTAGATACTTTTTGCATTGAAATAATTATTCTTCAAACACGATATCTTAGTTATTTAATTAAAAAACGTGTAAATCCTTACCATCAAAAAGATAAGTCCTTTCACTTCGGAGTTCCGAATGACAATAAAGACTGAACGATAAGTGAACGGTGAACGCAAGGTGAACGCAAACTAAACGGAACGAAGAGCGAACGGTGAACGTTTTGTGAACGGTGAACGCGAGCGCACGGTAAACGGTGAACGCAAAACTGTGAACGGAGAGCGAACGGTGAACGCACGCTGAACGAACGGTGAACGCACGCTGAACGAACGGTGAACGAACGGTGAGCGAACGGAAAAATGGGAAAGTAGAACGTTTCAGGGACTGTAACACGCCATCCATTTCAAAAGTGAGTTGTATCTCAAAGGGCTTACCTCGTTTTCTTGACGCCGTGTTTGTTTATCAATCTAAAAGTAGCGACGGCGTCACGTGGTGGATTTACTTAAAAATAGACATTATTCTCCTTGCAGGATAATAAATAATTATAATTTGATAACTTTATAACGATTTTTAATTTAAATGGTGTAATTTACAGCATTTTCGTAACTTTTATTGGTAAACAAAATATATAAATTTCCAGCCGTATTTTAAAATGGCGCACGTTATAGCGTATATTACTTTAATGTAACAATAATGATTGTTCTTTATTAGGTCATCTGTCAGTTTCACAATTTTGGTAGAGGACTCAATGCTTCTTACATACCTTAGTTTACTCCTGAGTAAACTCAGGTATGTAAGAAGCATTGAGTCCTCTACCAAAATTGTGAAATTCATGGCCTCATTGTCAGGGGTTCTTGTGTTAATGGCGGGGCTCTATTGACTAAACAGTGAAAATACATTAATTCTTTGAAAATCTTTTTCTCTCCCCCTGGGTAAATCTTAGAAAATGTTCTTTTTCCTCATGTGTATGAAGCAGATGAACTACCTTTATATTTATGATGAGCAAGGGCCCTTCTTTCAGAATTGTGAATTTCAAGGCCCTTGGGTCAGGTGTACAATGGAGGGGGGACTCTACTTATATACTGAAAATGAATTATTCATTAATTTTGAAATCTGCTCCTTGGTATTAATCAATTATTAAGGCCTAAGGGTCAGGGGTTCATGTGTGGTAGGGGAACAACTAATTATTGCTAAGTATTGCTGATTAGTTGAAGTGCATTTTTTGTTCCCTTACCCTGCTTATGGGTATTAAAGGTACTTGTATACAGATTTGTAGTTATTATTTTCTCTATAATATTACGACTTAATATATTTAAAAAGCATTTCACACAAAAATTAATTTAAAATCTTATTTCATTTAAAAGATATTGAAATTTCAAATTTTTCGGCGGGTTTGATTGACATATCGTGGCACTCTCACAAATTTAATTTTATTCTTAATCCTTAGGAAAGTGGCAATCTCGTTTTGTATAAATGAAAAATATTAATACTATTATCCAGAAAATTCAGAGTAGACACGTTCGAAATCAAAACAAACACACAATATAATTGTCAGTCTGTGTAGTGTTGGTAAGCAGACTGTGACGATTGAATGCACCCGGTGAATTCTAAATATAAACAATAACAGAACTCGAGCCCTGTTTACAAAAACTGTGTACATAACACGAGTGTGCTCGATTTGCACGCATCTCTTAGTTCGGAATGACGTTACTTGTGAAGGTGTTTTGCTTTCTAGCATTTCTACTCTGAATAAAATTATTTTTCTTGATAAAAGTTTTAAGTATTTCTCATTAAAACACATCAAAATTGCCACTTTTCCTAAGGATTAAGAATAAAGTTAAAAGAGCTTGAGTCAGAAAGTACACAAATTTGCCTGTTTTCAAAATAGGACAATTTTGCCTCTATATATATCTACAGACTGTATATTTTTTCAAACCAACTTTCTTTTTTCAATATCTCTTTCATATTTTCCGTAAGAAGTCTTCAAAATAGCATATGTATTTTAACACTTCTGAGTCTCATAAATAAAGTGATAGATATTTATTAATTGATGAGAATTTTACAAAAATGTATTTTACAATATAATACAGATAGTACTTTGATATTTTGACAATAAAAGATAACTTAATTTGAAATTATAACGTCAGGTGTAAAGAAGCATAGGTACATGTACAAGTGAAAATGACAGCGTGTCCGTTCAGCACCCGTGTGTTTATCGCAGTACACGTGAATAATTAGATACATTGTAACGTTTCATTATTGACATTGATAATGTTTTAAAATAATAAATTCATTAATAAATTACATAAACTTTATGCATTTGATATTTTAATCAACCTGTATATATAAAGCCAAGTCCAGGAACGTAGCAACCCGGGGATGTTAAATGTTAAAATAAAAATAGTACTGGTCACACAATTGATTGCGCCCATGGGAAAAGGGCCCCTTTCAGCAATTTTTATGAATTTTGAGATTTTCACGGATTTTGATAAAGTAAGGTTAAAAGTTGTCAACTAATAATTTTTATTTTGGTCCTACGTCTACTTTAAGTAGGTTTTTTCTTTATTTTAATCAAAGATACTTTAACAAGTTCATAATGACGTCATGTTTTTCAACAACGTCAAACCTTTTCAGAGTGAACGTAAAATGATTTTCTTTTGTAATTTTACTATGGTAATTAATAGTTACATAATATTTAATATTTGCCCATGCGCAATTTTTTTTTATCTCATTGTCTCTTTTAATTATTAATAATCATTAAATAGTTACATGTATATATATTATGGATTCAGCAGTGGTGTTTAGTATTATGAGCTAGTGTTTGCTTAACATTTCACTTTTTTGTGACATCAGGGGGGAACCTGAACAGCTAGCGGGTGACATCCATTCAGTCTTTTTGGAAACAATTATTTTCTCAAACAAAATATTTACTAGTAATCCATACAAGAGTCATTTGATAAGACTGTAGAATTCATTAGAAAATTATTATAATTTAAACATTGCTCTCAATAGGTCAAGATTTTTTTTTTTTGCTTGAATTCAGCATAAAACGATATATCTTTGGTTACCATATATGTGAAAATTAATTTAAAAAAAAAACTCTATCTGGAACAATAATATGCTACCTCAATGCTACTGCGAAGTGAAAATTTATTTGATCGTTCTTTTTCTTCTAAATTTCATATAAAGACAGAAAAATTGCAAAGAATGGTAATAACTTTAATAACTTTTAAACGAAATAAGATTTTTAATTAATTTTTGTGTGAAATGCTATTAACATATATAATTTGTGATATTATACAGAAAAAATGAGAAAATATTAATTTCAAATCTGTGTCCAAGTACCTTTAAGCAACCAAACAAAGCAATTGCTAAGTGTATGGTTATGATGAGCAATGGTGCCTCTTTCAGAATTATGAATGCCGTAGCATGTAGCTTAAAAACAAATTCAATCATTGGAAAGTTGTTGCATGATGCTCAGGTGACCAATAAGGCCCATGGGCCTCTTGTTACCAACCCCGCCCAATTTTTATAAGAAATAATAATTATCAGAAAGAAAATGAAAGGAGTTGTCTTTGAATGATATTACGTACACTCTTTAATATCAGAAGCAAAAGATTAGTATAGACTGCAATCTATTGTGTAATATTTTTACATAAAAATCAGTCTACAATAGTGAAAACATTACACCAATCTTCATTTTTTACATGCCCGCTTTAAGCAGGTCCTGACATTGAACTTCCAGGTTATTTTGAAGACTGGAGCAAGTACACAAGAAAATCTGATATCAAATCAATTTGAAATTTTTATACGCCCGTCTTCAGACGGGACGTATTATGTTATAGGCTTTGTGTCCGTCTGTCTGTCCGTCTGTCTGTCTGTCCGTCCGTCCGTCTGTTAGCTTTTCTCGTGTCCGGTTCATAACTTGAATACTATAAGGCCTAGAGTTATCCAACTTTGTCAGCTGATACATCTTGGGTAGAGGGTGTGTCGCGCACAAAAAGTAGGTCGCTCTGACCTATAATTAAAAAGTTATAGCCAAATATGGAAAAATCCTGTCCGGTCCATAACTTGAAAACTATTATACTTAGAATCATCAAACTTTGCCACTTCATGCATCTTAGGTAGAAGGTGTGTCGCGACCCATTTCAAGGTCACTTTGACCTTTAATTTAAGTGAAATTTAAAAAATAAAATGTCTTTTTTTCTCTTCATTTACACACTCCAAAAAATGTAAAAGTATTGCACTATCCTTATTAGAAAAATGTTAAATCAAGAAAAAATACTTATTTTTTTAGCATATTCTTGACAGCAATCTATAACAAATATAATGTATGTTAAAGAAATTCCACCACTCCCATGAGTTTAATTATCAAGCACTGGTCAAGAAGAATTTTGATAACAGAAAATTGCATGTCAAATTAGAGAGAGAAATTAATGAGTTTAGTGTGAGGAAGAGCATCGGTGCTATCTATATCCCTTGAGTATTAGACCAAATGGGTAATCCTGTTGGATTAAAAATGGCTCTTGTTGGCTAGCATAAGTTTCAAAATGAATTTGATGAGAAGTTAATAAAACTAATTTGATTTTGCATAATAAACTGTTTTGATATTACATAATATTATGAACTTAAAAAAAAACTAATTTTATGGGGGTGGGGTGGAATCAGCATGTCCATATGAATTGCATATTAAAACCTGTCTGCCATTAAATCTAATTAAAAAAAATCATTGAGGTTTTATATGTTTTAAAAATGCTTTATGGTAGATAGTGCATATCCAATAATCTCTTGGGAGTAATGAGTAGACAAGCTTCCAGTTAAAGATTAATTAGTGTGTTCAATGTAGCAAGGCTATAGCTGTCTCAATAATTTCTTCAAAGCATTATCTTAACTGACAGTGTATCCTTTGGGAATAAGACAGAAGAACTGTTGGTCATTTTATATTTGATGGCCAGCCTTTCATTTTCAAAATTAATTAGGTATAGATTAAGTTGTTAAGCCTAATTTGATAATGTTTAATATGACAGGCATTTGGCAAAGTCTAACACAACCAGCATAGAAATCTATGAATGATGCAATACATGTATATGTTATAATTAATGCCTACACCACAGGAGATGGATAAACACATTTTTTAAGGAGTTGAAAAATCATGGAAATCTAAAATCAAGGTTGTCATGATTTTCTTGCACTTTTGATTGTTTAAGATAATTGTGATTTTTTGATGGGCGTATCATGCTATGGCGTGGCACTTTATATGTTATTCTTAAGGCTTAAGAAAAATATCACATAATACAGAGCTAGTAAATTGTGCAGCCTAAGTTTTACCAATTTTTGTAATTACAGAGAAGGATTCCCAAGATGGTAAAGAAGAGCCCTTGTCAATTCCTTGTGCTACAGATAAAGGTTAGTATCATACATGTACATTATACATGGCATACAAAACTTATGACTTGCAGAATAATTTTAATCTTAAATTCTTAAAAATCTTCTATGTATAAGCATTTGAAGTTTGATAAAATATATTGAATGGTTTATTAGGGCCCCGCAAGGATTTGCGGGTGCCCTATAGTAATCACTCTGTCTGTCCGTCTGTCCGTCTGTCTGTCTTCCGTCCACAAATTTTCTGTTTTTTCTAATAACTTTTTTTATGGTTACCCAATCAAGTTCAAATTTGGTATGGTTGTTCAGTAGGCAGAAATACGTATTTTGATGCTAAGTTTGGTTCCCAATGTCTTCTGGTTTGGAGCTAGGGTGATGGGATAGATTCCTTAACTATGCATAAGAATGAATTGGCAACTTTTTTATGGTTGCCCAATCAAGTTCAAATTTGGTGTGGTAGTTCAGTAGGCAGAAATACATATTTTGATGCTAAGTTTGGTTCTCTATGTCCCCTGGTTTGGAGCTGGGGTGGTGGGGTAGAATCTTTAACTTTAGAATGCATTGTCAAAGAGAGATAACTGCTGAAGATGTTCCCATTGTAAAATGAATGCTGGCTATGAGTCCATTGGGATTAATTAGGTTTCTTCCTGAAGAAAATCCAGAGCATTATCTTTATCTGTCACATTGAGATGAATTACCAACTCTGTCTGCAAATAAAGTTTGTTTTGAAGTTAAGTCAATTTGGAATGTATGAACACTGTGAAATGTGGATTTAGATATAAATTTTTATAATTTATTTTTCTTTAATAGTTATGATTTCATTGAATTCTAAAAACAAGAAATATATTAAAGAAGAGTTTTTGAATTACTCTTTTTACTTTATGTTAATTAATTTTTAAGGTAGTCTTATAAAAACCCCATTCTATCATTAATACTGAAAAAAGTTCTTGTTGTAACTTTAGAAGAAAATGATGAGAAAGGTACAATTAATCCTTTGGGATCAATTATCTAGCCTGCTGCAGAAAATTTAGTAGGCTTTTCTTTATCTTTAAGATTAATGTAAACCTTTGTCTGCAACTGCTGTTTGTTTGAAGTTAAGGTCAAGCCTTCATGATATTTGCATTCATTGAAGGCAGCAATGGCATTCTATATAACACAAGCTTCATAATTAATTAATACATTCAATGTTAAATTGTTCTTTACTGCCTAAAGTAGATACAAGGATATTATTTCAAGTTTTGAATATTCAGGAATCATCTTGAAATTTTAAGAATACAGTTGCTGTTGTTTATTCTTCGTACATTTTTAATCATACCGTAAGCTTCACCCTTTTAATTCTACCCCATGGCGGGGCCCTTGCTGACTGGTCAGTTTTCTAGTTTTAAACTAAGATCAACAATTCAACATTAATTTTAAAAAGTAAGGTCAAGGTTAGGATTTATCCCATTAGAAAAAATCCACTTACATGATGTTGCAGTTTCCATTCATTTTTAGCTCACCTGAGCCGAAGGCTCAAGTGAGCTTTTCTGATCAAAATTTTCTGTTGTCTGTTGTTGTTGTCGTCGTAGTCATTGTCATAAACTTTTCACATTTTCATATTCTTCTCAAGAACCACTGGGCCAATAAACAGGGCTCTCAATTCTCTAAATCTGGGGCCGATATTCGGCCTTGTTCCCAATGCAAAAAAGGTACCCTTTTTCCCAAAAGAAAAGTGTAAATTTCCCAACTTTCATATAGCAAATATTAATTAAAAAATAAAAGTCCATGAAACTTAATCGCAAAAAGAAACCAAACAAAACACACTTGCAAACGAAAGTGAAACTGTACTACTATTTTATTAGTTCACGCAAAATGCATTCGTAAACTTGTTCGGGGAACCAGGTTATTATATCCCCGCAAACGAAGTTAAGGGGGGTATATTGGAATCACCATGTCCGTCTGTCTGTAGACAAGATTTTGTCCGGACCGTTTCTCAGAAACTATTGGATGGATTTGTATGGAAATTTTTACAATTATTATTCACCATATGAAGGTGTGCACCTGGGATTTTCATCATGATTGGATGATTTTTCTGCATTTTACAGGCGTTTTTTCTTTTTTCTTTTGTGATTTTGTTTGGGTCATAACTAGAAAACTATTAGACTTACAATCATCAAACTTAGAAAATTTATGCATCTTGGGTAGACGGTATGTCACGACCTATTTCAAGGTCTTTGTGACCTTTAATTAAAGTGATTTTTAAAAAAAAACAAAGTCTTTAAAATTTTAAATTTCATAATCCTTAAAAATTTTAAGATATAGTTGTATCCTTATTAAAAATGCTTAATGAAGTAAAAACTTATTTTTTCATCATATACTTTACAGCAGATTCTGTAACAAATGTTTATGATTTGAGAGGAATTCACTTTGTCCCATGGGCATTATTATCAAGCACTGGTCAAGGAGAATTTTTGATAGCAGAAGTGTGCATGTCAAATTAGAGAGAATTAATGAGTTTATTGTCAGGAGTTAACTGGCAAGAGCATATCTAGGTCTGATCTGATGCAGTGTTATCTTAATTTATCTCTTGAGAGTTGGGCAAGAAGAAATGGCCTTATAGTTGCTTGTGTTAATTAAGAGTTCTTGATGGCTGTAGTTCAGATAAAGATCTTTCAATTGGTCTAATGTAATTAAAACAAATTGGTGTTTTAGTGTATGATTGAAACTGAATTAGTATTGTATAATATAATTAAAATTAATTATACATGTGTTCAGTGAAAAAAAAATTACATTTCAATTTTTATATATTTGCAACAAATTGCAGTCATGTCTCACTTAGAATTTTATAGTCTAAAGAATAATTAATTTTTGATTTTTTTTTATTAGACTGTAGCATTTCCATTATTTCATAAAATATGCAATAAACAATTTAAAGCTGCAGATGGATATTTGTTAAGCTCTAACACAGCCAGTTTAATTAGAATTATATACATATATGATGTATTATTTGTTTTAATTAATCCCTACACTGTAAGTTTCTTAGAGATGTATTTACATTGTACAATATTTTAAACATGATAAGAAATGGAAATTAGATCATTGAAATCTGTGTCAATCTGTTAATCAAAGGTTACTTAATTTTCTTGCACCCTAACCAATTTATGATTATCGAACAATATTTGATGGGCGTATCATGCTGTGGCGGGACACTTTATTAGACAATAGTGAACACCTCTTACTAGATCCATAAAATATTTCTGAATTGGCACCTACTCTTAAAAACCCAGCAGGGGTATTTGTCCCTATTGGACAGTTCTAGTTTTATTTGAAGTAAGATAATGTCTTACATCTTTCATTGACATTAAAAAAATATACACTAATGAATTCCCTAGTACTCCTGCCTTAGCTGGAAGATGTATAGTTTTAGAATTTCATTTAATTAATTTGGATATTATTTATAACTTTATTCTTGTGCTATTTACAGCCCCTCCAAATGTGTTTATCGGTCATGGAACTAATTTTCAAAAACAAAGTGTAAAGCTGAAGTGCAACGTTTATTGTGCAAATTCCAAACTAACAGCATTAACTTGGACCAAAAATGACGAATGCATAGACATTTTGGGAAGTGACGGGAAATACCGTGGAGGGAACCAAGAAAAACCAACCTTGACAATAGAATCAGTAAATGCAGGAGATGCAGGTATATATCTATGTCGGGCAACCAATGCATTGGGAACAACAACGAGCGAACCATTGACTTTAGGTATGTTTTCTTTAGATGACTCTGGTCCTGTGTCTGGTTGAATAAGATTTTCAAAGGATATATTGATAAACGTACTTATATTGAGTTTTATAATTTAGCAGCAGTAAAAGAAAATGTCGCAATTTTTGCTATCAAAATTTACATTGGATTGTTTTTTAATCTTCAAGAAAATTCAAACTAATTAAATTCCTAGTTATGGTTGTATTTTTTAATAATTTCACAAAAAAAAAAAATTAATTTTAGACTTTTATTTCAAATTCAAGGGATATACTAAATCAAAGTAGGCATATATTTGTTTTACAGAACCTGATCTTATCACAAGTAATTCAAGATATCGTATTTTAAATCAAACTTTGACTAAGATAACCCATGCATGTATATAAAACTTGTTTACTTCTATGGAGTCCTTAGATGTTACAAGCTGATTATTGTTGAATTGTTCATAAGGAAATCTAAAGATTGGCAATATAATCTTCTGCTCGGATTAAATTTTTAGATCAATTTAAAAAAAAATCAATGTTGAATATTTTCAATATTCTAAACTGTAAATGTAGAATTCTGTGTACAATATAGGTCCTCCAGATATCACATTGCATAATGAAAGAATCAACGAAGACAGCGGGATTATGAAAATACAAGCTTCAATTAAGTCTATTCCTGATGCCTTTAAAGTGGAGTGGAAAGTTCAAACGCACCCAGATTATGAATTCCATCCAATTAATTTACATGATGAAACTTACAAAGGAACTACAATTTCTATTCCCAATCCCGTGCTTGTTGTTAACCGAAACAATTCAAATGATTTGAAAATATATAAAATGGAGGTTACTAATTTTATTGGTGTCCATTCCGTTACTACTCAAGGTAAGTTTAAGATATGGATATCTTCTTTTTTATGCCCCCTTCGTAGAAGGGAAGGCATATTGCTTTGCTGCTGTCCATGGGTCGGTCTGTTTAAGTTTTTGTTCATTTTCTTCGCAACGTTTGCACATACTGAAATGGAATTTTGTATACAGATTTAACACATAAATATCTAGATCAAGTTGTGTATTGGGTACGATCGTACCATTTTTGACAGAGTTATGCCCCTTGTAATTGTAAAAATTTCAATTATTTGCAGTTTCCGCTCATTTTCTTTGCAACCGTTGCACATACTGAGATGAAATTTGCTATATAAAATTTAATTTGTATTTAATTTTGGTTCATAATTGAGTCTTTTAATTTCATTCAAATCCACATTTTAATGAATTCCAAGTAAGGTTATTCTTTTACATCCTCACTTAAGACTCCATCATGACATAAT